CAGGCTCTACCTCTTCATCGACAGAGTCCTCTTCTCCCTTCTCTCCTGAACCACTCCGACCAAGCCCCCTTATCATCCTCGACATTCGCCTCGTGGCCAACACCTCTCGTTCTTCAATTTGTTCAAACATTGGGACCCCAATTTCAAGGACCTCTGTAACACCATCTTTAGTTAACAAGCCTCTTAGGTGGAGAAGAAGATGTGGGAGCAAGAGAGATGAAGGGAGGAAGAAGAAGGATAGACCTATGAGATCGAGGGACCGCTCAATGGTAGAAAAAGAAGAACAGGCAGTGGGGGTGGGCATTGGTGTGCACATATGCGCTCACAAAATTTTCATTAGGTTTTTGTTTTTATTTAATTTCATCTTGGAAACCATTAAATCTTTATTTTATATTAAATTACATAATACCCCCTCAGGTTTGAGGTCTATTACAATCCTGTACAATATCTTTAAAATATTTTACTTTCATACCTCAAGTACTATTTTATTTCAATATAATACATCTGTTACATTTTCCATCCATTGATCCGTTAAGTGCTAACGTGGCTGCCACATTTATACCACGTGGTTGCCAAATGTGTGCCACGTGGCAAAAAAAAAAAAAAAAAAAAAATCCATTACATCTGCCCGCAACCCCCCACCAAAAAAACCCAACCCAGATGTCGTCATCCCACCAGACCCTTTCCTTCCCCCCGCGTCACCCTCTCCACTCCTTCCTGACATCACCCCATTCCCCCTACCCACGCGCAACCCATCTCACTTAGAACCCCCAACCCCCCCCCCACGACCCAGCTCACTCATAACCCAACCCACACCCTTCTCTCATCTGCAACCACACCCACCCTTTTCTCCTCTCTGCAACTTGCACTCACCTTTCTTTCCCATTCGAATCCTGCTCGTCGGCGAGTCAGTCGACTCCGACAACGAGGTATGCATTTAATTTTTTCCTTCAAATTTTGAATTTTTCAGTGCTTGGTTGGTGGTGGTCTGGATGGAGTTAGGTTTGCTAAGGGTGGGTAGGGTTGCAGATAAGAGAAAGGAGAAAAGGGGTGGGGGTGAAGAGGAGAAAGGGATCGGGGAAGGTGGGGCTTTGCTGGGTTTTTTTTATGGGAGGAGAGGTGAAGAGAGTGGAGGAGAGGGAGGTGGGTCAGGGGGAAGGGGGTAAGGTTTTTGGGTTTGTTTGCGGGGGTGGGGGGTTGCGGGATGTGGGTTTCAGTTTTTTTTTTTTTTTTTTTTTTAAGAAGATTCAGGTGGTTTTTTTTTTAATTAAATTTTTTTTTGTGCAACGTGATGTGCCACGTTGGCAACCACGCCAGCACTTAACTGATCAATGGATGGAAAATGTAACGGATGTATTATTTTGAAATAAAATAATACGTGAGGTATGAAAGTGAAATGTTTTAAAGATGTTGTATGGGGTAGTAATAGACCTCAAACCTGAGGGGTTACTATGTAATTCACCCTTTATAATTTTATTTTTATCTACATGGCATATCACATTAGCAAAAATGTGGGCTCCATATGTGTCACGTCATTACTTAACAGTTAACTTAGCAGATTTTCTAGCGGGTGTATGAAATTGAAATGAACTAAAAGGTAATGTATGAGATTGAAATGTATTAAAGGTGTTGTATGAAGTTGTAATTGCACATAAACATGATGGGGTAAAATGTAATTTACCCTAAATTATAACTAAGAAGGATAAAATATATAGTATAACGTCGACTCATCAAATACCCCTAAACTTGGCTTTTTGCTTGTCCTACAGTAAAATAAAACTAAAATACAAAAGGAAAAACTAACTTAAACAAAAGTTAACTAAGACACAAAAAATTTCACCTTCAAGTCGCAATCCATAGAGAACGTTAAAAATTAGAACATCTTTCCAAAAGTTCCAACCAATCCCACTATAAAGTCTAAGCCATTTAGAATCAATTAGAAAAGAATTCATGAACTTCCTTTGGTAAAGTGAACCAACATGGTTAAAGAGACTCAACTAAAGCTCTTATCACTTGTCATTTTATTTCACACAAACCACCTGCAAAAAGACTATTTTTTTTTTCTTTTCTTCTTTTCGATGTTTTTTTTTAATCAATTTTTTTTCTTCAGTTTTTAGTAATAGTAGTGGTCGTGCAATGCTAGTTCACTTAAGCTTTCGATCCACCCCATGTAACAAGCTTTAGATCAATGACTCCCAAAACACAAGGGCTTTAGGGCACTAGGTGTAGAACACCCCTAATGACTTACTAACTCGAGCTGAAAATGCTACGAAACCAACTAACCACTATGCCCCATGCCAAAACTCTACCGTTTGATGTGAGAATCACTGTTGATTAGGCAAGAATGGCCCAGCTACAAAGCAATGCCTCGAGTGAGACAATTATTACTTTATTCATAACAAGAACTAGACTTTACTTTACTTAGAACAAAAATTAAAAAATAACTTGATGAAAAGTAAGTGTTTTGTTGGTGTGGATGTGCAAATTTTCAAAGTATAAGTCATGAATTAGTGTCTAAGCAACAATAAATAGAAAAGACTTTATTATGGGATTAACCTTCACTCTGTCCATTTGTTTTAACGTTTAAAGTAATCTATGAATATTAACTTAAAATCGAAAAAATTTTAATTGACACAAAAAAAATTAAAAATCTAAAAATTCTTATTTCCCACCCCCAAACTTAAATCACACATTGTCCTTGGAAAAACCCAATTGGGGGACGGCACTGTTCATTAATAGTGTCAGGACGGAAATGCCCTTCAATTGCTCATGGATTTCTGTTTTTGTTCTCATTTGCACAGCGAAATGACGACTTTGACCTTGCTGGGTACACGTTTTTCATCGCTAGCCTTTCCTGTTTGAGTTTTTTGCTTCTTCATTCTTTGCCTTTCGTTTTGCTTCTCTCTCACCATTTCATGCACTCGCCTTTTCTTTTCTTTTCTTTTTTCTGCCCCACGTCTGCACGTGTTGGTCATTGCGAAAGGAAAGCAGTGGAAAGGCTAGGAAAGCAGTGGAAAAGCCCAATTGCTTTGACTCGCTGATCTCAGAAGGGCATCCTTTTCCATTCACCGTTCTCAAGTTCTCTCCATGGCGTCTTTTCTACCCTGCCTGATGCAGGAGGAAGACTTGGAGAAAACAAGTTGAAACCATTAATATGCTTTGGAATAACAAAGGTTTTGTATTTTAATTACTTAGGAATTTGTTAAGTTATTTTGGGAATTGTAAGGGTGTCATGGAAACTTAAAGTCTATTAATTTGTAAACACTTATAAATATTGTACTAGAAAGCCTTGAATGGGGAGACTTGAATGAATAAAATTGTATTTGCCTTGTGCATTTGAAGAAAGTGATTTCTCCTTCTAAAATCAAGCATTTGGCTTGGTCATGTGAGCGAATCATAGCAACGTGAGCGAGCTCCGTTGCCCCTGGTTAAGTGATTCCCATGTCATCTATCCTTGTCTCCCCAAGAACCCTTGGCTTGTCCTACATCAAGTGGCACAGAGCAGGTTATCCGCTGCGGGTTGAAGACCATGGCTGTGATTTACAATCTGTTTGAGGAGCACACTGTCGAAGAAACTAGTTTCGTCGATTGGAATTTACCATCAATTTATGATGAGTATGTTGATGATGATGACGACCTCAAAGAGAACTTTTTCAATGGGTGTTCTCTACTAATTTATGGCGAGTAAGATGAAGATTACAAGGCTATGCTTACGGTGGTTAATCACCAATGTTGCTTGCAACTTGGAGTCAATGCCAATCCTGCTCCAATTTTTTATGAATACTGCTACGGTGACAAAGGAATGAGTTCATCTGTAAGGGTGTCATGGAAACTTAAAGTTTATTAATTTGTAAACACTTATAAATATTGTACTAGAAAGCCTTGAATGGGTAGACTTGAATGAATTAAAATTGTATTTGCCTTGTGCATTTGAAGAGAGTGATTTCTCCTTCTAAAATCAAGCATTTAGCTTGGTTGTGTGAGCGAATCAATGATTAGTGACGTGAGCGAGCTCCGTTGCCCCTGGTTGAGTGATTCCCAGGTCATCTATCCTTGTCTCCCCAAGAACCCTTGGCTTGTCCTACATCAAGTGGCATCAAAGCAGGTTATCCGCTGCGGTTGAAGACCATGGCTGTGATTTACAATCTGTTTGAGGAGCACACTATCGAAGAAACTAGTTTCATCGATTGGAATTTACCACCAATTTATGATGAGTATGTTGATGATGATGACAACCTCAAAGAGAACTTTTTTGATGGGTGTTCTCTACTAATTTATGGCGAGCAAGATGAATATTACAAGGCTATGCTTACGGTGGTTAATCATCAGTGTTGCTTGCAACTTGGAGTCAATGCCAATCCTGCTCCAATTTTTTATGAATACTGCTATGGTGACAAAGGAATGAGTTCATCTGTGAAAGAATGGTGCATGCATCATCATAAAGAGGTAATATTTGACCTTGATACCCATTATATATGTGACTACATATGGGAATCCTTTATTGCTTTCCACAGTAGGAAAATATACTTGGACCAAAGCACTTTTCCAAGTCATCAATATCAAAAGGAAATCTAGAAGATTGAAAAGCATTTTTCAAAAGAAATTGTTGCTATCATGAAACAGTTAAGCGGTGCACATAACTTGAGAAAGTTTTGGAAAGCAAAATACTTGGAATATTCTACTATTTGGATTTGCTCAAGGAATTGGAAAATTTTGGTGCTAAATTGGGTATTGTGGAACATCTTGGTTGGACATCCAAAAGATCGAGGAAAAAAAAAGAAAAAAAAAGAGGTCAATTGAAACTCGAGGATGAGTTTTTTCTGAGAAGAGGAGAATGATGTGGGAGGAAGACTTGGAGAAAACAAGTTGAAACCATTAATATGCTTTGGAATAACAAAGGTTTTGTATTTTAATTACTTAGGAATTTGTTAAGTTATTTTGGGAATTGTAAGGGTGTCATGGAAACTTAAAGTCTAGTAATTTGTAAACGCTTATAAATATTGTACTAGAAAGCCTTGAATGGGCAGACTTGAATGAATTAAAATTGTATTTGCCTTGTGCATTTGAAGAGAGTGATTTCTCCTTCTAAAATCAAGCATTTGACTTGGTGGTGTGAGCGAATTCACGATTAGCGACATGAGCGAGCTCCGTTGTCCCTGATTGAGTGATTCCCAGGTCATCCATTCTTGTCTTCCCGAGAACCCTTGGCTTGTCCTACATCACTGCCTTCTGCCGTTTGCTCCACCACGGCAAAAGCTTTTGTGATTTCTTCCATCCCGTAGAACCCACTTGATTTAGATTGTCTTGATGCTGTGCAATTCTGCTGGGTGAATGCAACTTTCACAACCAACCCAGCAGCAGACCCAACACCTTTCTTCTCAACTTTCCTGGAAAATCAATGGCACCCATGAATCAGATTCTCCAAGATTTCCAAGCAATGGAATTTTTAATCCGTGCTGCCATTTGCTCTGTCTATGTTCTTCCTGTTTTCTGTCAAAGCTTCAATCTTCGCCAAGAAAAATGCTTTTTCCAAACTCGCTTATGTTCCAGGTACTTATTTCTAATTACGCACTTTTATTTATTTTTGTATTTATTTGTTGGGGATTTATGAGTTTTGATGAAATGGATGGTGAGTAGAATGGGAATTGATTTGATTTGGTTTTCAGTTTCAGGAAACGGTGGTGATGGAATTTTGAGTGTTTTCTATGTGTGTTTCCAAAAAGGTATCTCACATTTTATAAATAGGAAAACCCCCTATAATCACATAAGAACTTTTCGTCATACATAAATATAGTGCATTAAATATTAAAGAGTCTCATTAAGTCCATATGAGAGAGTTTTCAACACAATCGTGGTTCATGGAGCCTTGTGATTTGGAGTGCTACTATTACAAGGACGTGATTGTTATATCTTGAGAGACTTACGCCGATCAACCATGAGCATCGTAGTGGGGCGTAAACTTGTCTTAAGGATAAAGTGTCCAACACTTGCCTTGACCGTATTTTCTAGGTTTTTCTAATCCATTATATCATGTTCATTTAACATTGATTACTCTCGTGCATGCATTATTTTGATATATAATTGCATGAATTATTTCTTAATTTTCTATGTGATTTAATATAGCAATTAGAGACTAAATTTTCCAACAATCTTAAGACAAGCTTACTGTTTTATTTGCTATATTTGATTAAAAAAGGTTGGTTTGAGAAACTGAATTTGTTTCTTTGCAACAATCATTTTTATATTATTCTATTTAATAGTTACGCATGAAAGCGTTTACGTTTTGATTGAAAAGTTTAGGTTTGATTGCTATAATTTTGTCATCAATTCCGAATTGGCATTACGTAAGTGTTAATTCATAGTTGCTGCTTGTTTTGCATGATTGCATGCGTGGGTTTTTCATGTTCATTTTGACTGTTAATTTAATAAGTGCATGATCAGTTTGTAGACAACATATTTTGTATTCATACATGTATTGTTTCGAAGAACATACCAACTAGATATGTGTTATTTTTGTATTTTTACATATGCTAATTAATGTTGTATATGCGAAGTGATTTATATATTCATAGTATACGTAAAGCAGTGAAAAAAAAAGTTCTTGGAAACAAAATTCCAGGCCAAACGGTTAATTTGCACATAGTTTTTTATGCATGTTTGTCCTATCTCTCTCTGAAACAATGATATATTTGAATAATCGATTGCAATCTTTCCATGTTAATATATGAAATGGTGGGACATGTTACGAAAGTCTTTATTTGGGAAGTTCTGTTCCTTGGAAGGCATGCAATAATGGCTTGTGAAATCAGTCTGATATGTTGTTTCAAAATTTGGAAAATATGTTAGCAGCGTAAGTGTAGTTGGAAAGCCTGCACCGATTTCTGAAATTTTTGGTTTTCCAGAAAATTTTGTTGGTCATGATTGCAAATCAAAAGATATTTCTAAAAAAAAGGAAGAATATACGTGGAAATGTCAAAGTCTGAGTAACTCTTTACGAAGGGTTGTCGTCGTTGGCCAGTCAATTGCGTTTCTTGGATAACAACTTTTCAGATAAAATTTATGACATAAAACCAGATGTGGCTACTGTCAAAAGTTATGACATGTGCCGATCAACCATGAGCATCGTAGTGGGGCGTAAACTTGTCTTAAGAACAAAGTGTCCAACACTTACCTCGACCGTATTTTCTAGGTTTTTCTAATCCATTATATCATGTTCATTTAACATTGATTACTCACGTGCATGCATTATTTTGATATATAATTGCATGAATTATTTCTTAATTTTCTATCTGATTTAATATAGCAATTAGACACTAATTTTTCCAACAAATGGGTCATAAACAACGGTGAGCAGAAAACTGTAGCCTAAGATTGTAAGAGAGGCATCACATATTGTTTTCTTGACTTATTTATATTGTGAATACAGCCTTGCCATTACATTTAGATTCTGTTTTCATCGGTAAGTAAAGGTCTCAACATCAATCAACGACATATGCGACACTAAATATGTTGATGTTGGTAAATGATTTAGACCTGCCTTAGAATCAAAGGAAAAACATGTAACCAACGCTGAAGTGGTTCTTGCACATCCCCTAATTATTGAAACCCACCCAAGAAAAAGGTAATACTTGAACAAATTTTCAGTTATATTCCTCAGCTTACACTACACTTTAACAGCTATGAAAATTAAACATCTTTGTAATTAAAGTTGTAAGATATGCTCATTCATTTTGTGGGTTCATATTGTGGATTATATGGATGTTTTGTAGCTCGCAAGAGGTTATTTTGGTGCATTGAGGAAATTGTAGTTTTACAACCAAGCCAAATATCACTGAAGCTCCTAATGCTTCAGCCATCCTCAATATAAACAACCTCACAAATATTTGTTTTAGTGATAGGAGCATATTTATGCGACTTAGTTGGCTTGTTCTTGTGCATTTATGATTGTTTTTCTTTAGTTATTTTAAGTGTTTAAAGTCATTTTCGTGCAGTTTCAGGTTTTAGAGACAAAGTATGCAAAGAAGTGCGAAATGGAGCATTTTAGAGCAAAATTGAGCTGGAATGTTGTGTATGCTTATGGAGCACAAGGAATGGACGAGTTTGAAGGTCAAAGGAGCTTAAGAAATGAAGAAATGAAAGTGAAGAACAAAGAATTCGGAATTGGAAACCAAAGTTTCTAAAGTTGGAAGTTTCTATTCTTGGAGGTTTCCATTTTCGAGAGTTTCTATTCGTGGCTTTGGGCTTTTAGATGACCCATCCTTACCCTCTTAGATTGGAGCCGCACCTTCCTAGCCTAATCTCTCTTGAATTCTGACTTGTTAGGCCCTTTCCTTGTGGATTTGGGTTATACACATCCCTTTCTACAACTAAGTGGACCTAAACCCTAATTCCTTGTGGATCTTCACCCTTTGCCGCACCTAAACCCTAGCCCATTGCCTAATCTGATCACCCTAACCCTTGCCGCACCTAGCCTTCTAGAATACCTGATTTCCTTGCCTTGCAAGGCATTCTAGAAGGCCCATCTCTAAACCTAGCAAACCAGCCGCACCCTAGGCCTTTTTCCCATTAAAAATCTGGTTGTTTTAACCTAATTTCTGATGGATTTGGGTTTTGGAGGCCCTAATCTGATTGCCCTAGGGTTTTGGATGCCTCTATATACACATTATAACCTCTTGGCCGAATTACCATCTGCCATATTCATTCTACATTCCAGAAACCCTAGTCTACAATCTGCCGCACCCATCCACCATTCTTGCCGAGCTTTCCACCATCTTCCACCCATCAAACACTAATCCACACTCATCCTACACCCCTTGCCGTGCCTCTACACCCCCCAAATTCCATTCTACATCATCAAAACAATCCAGGAAGCACCACCACCCAATCTGCCGCAAGCAAGGAAAGGGGACAGATTCTCTACAATTGTTTGGCTCTTCATTCTGAGTTGTTGAACGATTTTAGGTGTTTTCTATCTTATATTTCAATGTCTAATTCATGTAATCTTTGTTTTGCTTTAAGTATGATTGGCTAAATTCGTTTTGGCTAAGGGTGGATTCAAAACCATGATTATTTATGTGAAATAAGTTGATTACTTTCAGTTATCGTTGCATAAGTCGTGAATACAATTTGCTTAACCGTTTGATTTAGAACTTATTCTTGTATGTTGATTGAGAGTGCACGCTTAATTTGCATGCTTGAATTTGGTGCTAGGATATAAGTTTGTTTCACCTAATCGTTATGAATTTATATTCGTAAGTAGTGAAGGTCGCTAGTCACGATCGTGTTAAGTAGATTCCTGGCAAGAGTATCATGCTTTTCATAGTTACGAATGCCTTGTCGATGCTTATGATTTCCAAAGAACGTAATGATTCTAACTTGTGTCTTTATCATGCTGTTCATATAGAGAACTTGTTAGGAATAATTTGTTTGCGATGCATATTCATCCAATTCAATGATTCTAGGGAAATCTGAAGGTTAATTTAAGCGGACCTAATTAACTTGGAGTGTCGAGGTTCATAACTTATTAATTTGATAACTGGAAATTGATTTAGGTTGCATATATTTCATGTGTGCAAAAGAACCCCTTAGCTATTCCATCATCCCTTGATTCATCACAATTTTGTCTTACAATCTGTTTTCTTTACAATCTGTCCATTTAGTTTATTTTCGTCCAAATCAAATCCCCATTTATTTTGAAGTCCTAGATTAGTTAGAAAGTGTGTTGGTTTATATTTTTAAGTGTTTTGGTACAAGTTAAAACCCAAATTCGTCCAATTTGGTGCTTTGTGTTCAAACTGCCCAGAAAGTGTTTTTAAGGCAGTTTTGAGTCTTTTAGTTGCTGTTTTGAGTTTTTGGTTTGTTTTAGTATTTTAAACGTTAGTTTTGCATTCTTTGAGTCTAATCTAGTGTTTTAAACTTTGTTTTTGCATTTCTAATTCAGTTTTCAAGTGATTAGTACCCCTAGTTAATCCCCGGTTAGAACGATCCCTACTTACATCGTTACTACAATTGTCACAAATAGGGTTTAATTTGTGTGTGTGTCAACAAAATTTTCACATCATTTAGTTCTTTTGATATAAAAACCTTTTAATCCTAAATTAATTTCCTTCCTCATAAGAATATTCACTACAACCATCAGTTATAAGGAAAACAATTATACCAAGTGCAAAAAAAAATTTTTTACCATATTTTAGTAGTGTTGATCATGGACTGTAGTATAGGGAAAATAAGAAAACTAAATCGACTTTTTGATTTTACAATTTTCTTCTCCTGTGTTATGCTTCCTAACCTTGGTTCTATATTATCTTATTCAGGCAAATGAGAAAATTGAATGCAGTGTTTCAGTACCTGGTAATTTTCCTTCTAACAATAACCATACACTTCAGGATGTTTCTTCGATCAGGAAGAATTACTCCTCCAAATTGAAACAGTTATTAACATCACTATAAAGGCTTAGTTTAGATAAGTAACAGTAAGGTCGCTTTTGTATTTTTGCATTTAAACATAATTTAAAAAATGAATGATCATTATGTAATTTGCAATGTATTGGTCAAAAAGTGCAGAAAAAAAAAGACATTTTGAACAAAAGAGAGAACAAAAAAAAAACAATCTTTGGTCAATTAGAAAAAGCATCAGGTTCGATGATGATACCATTAAATACATTTTGTAATAATTTAATTTCAAGTTTGAAAAAATCCTGACTCTTTCAACTTCAAATTTTGTTGGTTTTTTATTTAGGTTGAACAAAAAAACTCTCCAAGATGCCAGTTCTTTTAAAAGCAATGTTAAGGTAAATTTTAATTACATTTATTCCACATGGTATACATTTTGAAAACCTCTTTGACAAAATTTATGATCTAGGAAGCCCCTTAATAGCTTTTGGCTTAGAAATGTTGCTCGACATGTTCATCCCAGATTAGACAAATCAATTCGCAAAATATCATCACCGTCAATGATTGACAGTTTTGGCATCCACTCTATAAATCACAAATATGATAGATCAAAAGGTAATGACTTTTACACTCCCATTGTCTATTTTATTTAATCTGCTCTAATTTAACCAATCCAAAAAAAGTTTTTGGTCTATCTTATTTTCTTTTCTATGAATAATATTAGTAAGACCACCTTGGTAAGCAAAATTCGATTATATAGGCATGGTTGCTTACAAGACAAAAGATTTGTTCTTTGCTTTATGATTTCTAGGCTTTTAGATTAGAAATGTTAGCTTCAACACCTTGGCATATGATCAAGTACAAGATTGGGGTGATGACACTTACATACTCTCAAGAAAACCACTCACCTTTTAAATGAATTTTAAGATTAGCTCCAGCCCATGTTTGTTTAACAATGTTGTATCATTCGTTATATAGTTTCACAAAGATCGTGCATAATTCTTGCTAAACTTGGTTTGGTTTTCTTTTGTTTAAGGATAGAGTGAGCAAATCACAGTTCGACCAAGTCTTGAATGATGAATTGAGCCAGATCATTGAGGTGTCTTTCTCAAGTTAAATTTTTATTCATTTATTTATTTATTTCATTTTTAATGCTCATTTCTTGACTCAAACATTGCTTATGAAGTGAATGAATTTGCATAATCTTAAATATAATTTTCAATTCCGCAACAAAGCGCGGGCACCGTTGCTAGTAAAAACTAAAATGAAGAATATAATATAAAGACAAAAGATACAATTCTTAATAAAACAAAACTTAAAGGAAAGATGGTACCTGGACTCGACATGGTGTCCTGATGCATGAAATTGAATCAAAGACCCACTTTTATGGGTATTCAAATTGCAAAGAGAACAAATTGTGCAGCTCCAAAACCATAACAGAGAAATTGAATCAAAGACCCCTCCACCCCCTCCACGGCTCCACGGCTCTACCCCTCCATCCCAATACAAGAATAATTAATTCTGCAACTCCAAAACCATAACAGAGAAATTGAATCAAAGACCCACTTTTACCAAAAATTGGATAATCCAAACAATGGAGGAAACGAATATGAGAATCATAATCTATCCATATATTTAAATTCCACACATTTAACCTCAAATCTAACAGATCTTATCCTCAATGATCAAAACGCACTCGGAGGATGATAAATCAATTCAATCTCTAACAATACTCAATCAATCACAATTTTTCACCAGAAAAAGGTTAAGGTTTGATGCAATAACAGCTTTAGATCCAAATATCATAGATTAAGTGGGCAAAATAAGAACAAAAGGGAAAGAGAGAGAGAGAGAGAGAGAGAGAGAGAGAGAGAGAGAGAGAGAGAGGGATCTAAGAACGAGGCCATCGCCATCCTTGTCGAATAGGCTGAACGCCTCCTTGAACTCGGAGATTTTATCGTCGGTGAGCTGATCGGCCATCGTTGAGAACGTTTGGCTTTCGAGAAAATCACAGAGAAAGTGTCCAAAATGCAAAGGAAAATATGTTTGTGTATGTCTCAAATGTGGAAAAATGTGAGAGATGGGTAGGCTTTATATATCCAAAGAAAGAGTGGTGGAGGGGATGGAGGGGTAGAGGGTGGGGGAGGACGAAGGGGTTTTGGGTGTGTAGGATGGAGGGGTGGAGGGTGGGGGATGAAGAAGGGTTCTGGGTGTGTGTGTGTGTGTGTGTGTTTTTTTTTTTTTTTTATATATTAATTATTTAATTTTTTTTTAAATTTTTTTAATGACACATGGCGTCCAGTTATTGTCCACATGGGTGCCACGTCATCAATTAACGGTAAACTTAACAGCCAGACTAACGGATGTATGAGACTGTCCCAAATTAACACTTTAGGTATGACTTTGGGACGAAAAAAACTTCATGTACTAAATGTTAAAAACCACGAAACTTAAGGGTAGTAAACTGATATTTACCTTAAAATCTAGAACACCCCCATTTCATTTCCCATTTGTCATTTCGAGCTTCGAAACCCTCAGCCGCTTCTCTCTCTATCCTCGAGCCCAGAGCCGTGAGGCCTCCTTATCTCTAACCTTCATCCATCTCTACTTTCTAGCCGTGCCACCATAGCCATTTTGTCCAAAGTCGTAACCGTCGTTCGAAATACAACCTCCAACCCCCAAACTTCGGGTTTGAGAAATGAAGGCCGGGAACTCTAAAGCCATAGCCGCAACCCCAGATCGATCAAATCTAAGCACAGCCATCACAGGGATATTTGTCCTCCATGGCAGGTAAAAATGCTCACTTTCCTTCTGCGATTTTTGTGCTTCTGCTTAGATGAAATGGAAGAGAGATGTGATGTACCTCATGCATGTGTATATCTTGTGCAAGACTTTCGGATCCAAAGCAAGAAACAACCCAAATCGCAGATCTTAAGGTTGAACGAAATGTATAAATTTTCAACCGCGATTTGGATAAATAGATTATGTGAATCTGTGTCTTTGTGGTCATTGTTGTTCATGTGATTTGGTCAGTGTGTGGCTTCTGTCTCGCATCCATATATTTGAAAGTCTCCATTATTCTCATGAAATTTTTTTTTCTACGCATGCTGCCCTGAATAATATGATGAATATTGAGCTAAACAATGCACCAACTGGATCCTTGGTTTGCATGAACAGTTGTGCTTCTCCTCTGTGTTGCTTGGATCCCACCCCCAAACATTTACGTAGTAATATTTTAAATAAAATGCAGGGAGTGATTAAGTGAGAGGGGGTGCCAAGCAATGCAAGGGGCTTCATCACCAACCCCACTGTGAGTATGTTTGGAACACTGCCTGTGCATATTTCTGCATTCGATTAATTTTCTGCACTTTTCGTTGATGATGAGTGATGATGAATGCTGATGTGCTGAGTTGAATGTATAAATGCTGCTGAATGCATGATTCAGATGAATGTGCGCGCTTAGTGGATTTTTAGGGCTGAATTGCTTCCAATGCAACCTACAAAGATCACACAATAAAAAACTAATTAGAGTAAAACCTACAATAAAATACTGATTAACTAAAAAAATGGTTGTTTTTGTGTTTTTCAATTTTCTGATAATTTTTTTTTATTTTTTTATTTTTGTGATAAAGACTAAAAAGGAAGAAAATAAAATGAATGAAAATAAAAAGAAAAGAGTTTAGAAAAATTGGGTTGCCTCCTAATTAGCGTTTTAGTTAACATATATAGCTAGACATAGAGGAAGGAATTGATAATCACGTCACTTGGTCTCTTAGAGTCAACCATATTTTAACAACATCACAAGGCAACAGTAGGTACGGAATGAGATGTTTGTCAATTATGTGTTTCAAGGGAGTGGTTGAACCCATCATATTCGGCCTTCTTTGTGAATGAATCTTTGTAATCAAATAGAATCCCCTACAGTGAGACTTACGTATCCATTGAACTGACTTAAACCTTGTATTTAACATCCACAATTTCTGCACTGGCTGAATTTCTTGACGAAGAATTTGGCTATCACTAAGCTCTTCATGCTTGCCCTTATAGAATTTAGCCTGCTCATAAAATTGGCCCTGACATTCTTGAAATTTGATGGGCTCTACCTTTGGCTTGTTTAATTCAGCAACCAGAACTTTTATCAATAGCCTGCCCTTTATGCAAAATGGTTAGAGCTCAAAATCTTATCGTGGGAATCATCAAATTTTGACTAGTTTTGAACAACACTGTCCAACCCGTCAGTTTCAACGTGTTCCTGCAACTTTGTGGGTAGCATTGCAGCCCTTTGCAATAGTATGTGTGGCACACAGACTTTGGTATGAGCAGATTATGTGGAACTTTCAGGATCATTAGGTGCTTTTTACTCCATTGTGCAAGAGTCATACGTCGATGGCTCTTTAATTTCAATATCTCCCAGAATGTTATTATAGCTCTCCACAAATTGGGATGGTTGAATTATGCAGCATTCCTTTGAACATTGTGGATTAGTAATTGGTTGACTAGGAAACTCCTCTTCTCCCTGTTCTTTCCATTGATGCACCATATTTTTTTTTATTGATTTATGGATATTATGAATTCCTTGATCTGCTTGATCAAGCCTTGTAAAGGTACTGTCTGCCAATTTCTCAACTGCAACCTCCCAATCAGCTTTTACTGGTGCATGAGGCTGTTTAATACACTCACACATAGGATTTTTAGGCTCTAGCCAAGATGGATTGGAAAATTTTGAGTTGCACCTAGGCCTTTGAAAATTGTTCCTCATATTTATATGGTGTTGTTCGTGGCAGGAATTTCCGTCGGGGATGCTTCATGGCCGACGAGCACACAACTCTCCGAGAGGTCGGCGCCGGTTGATGCTTTCTGTCGGGCTTCTGCTTTACTAGCGGGCTTGTCGGGCAAAGCCTGTCGGGCAAGGCTTGTCGGGCAAGGCTGAAAGAGAATGACATAGTTAACTTTGAAAGGTGCCTTTGTGGGGCCTTAGGTGTAGGCCTTGAGGCTCACAATCAAGATTAACTTTTAAGTGCTCAGGCGTGCCACTGTCATCTTCAGCATGGCAGATGTAAAACGGATGTTTGCGTTTTATTTATATATTCAAGAGACTATATTAGTTATTGACAGGTGCCTTTGTGGAGCCTTAGGTGTAGGCCTTGAGGCTTCCCGTTAATAACTAACTTAGTACTCGAATACATAAGGTTCATTTTCTTGGTTATATAAGTCTTATAACCATTATACTTCTGATTATCTGAGCCCGAAGAGCAGAATGAATCCAAATAGGTGCCTTTGTAGGGCCTTAGGTGTAGGCCTTGAGGCTTCCCATCAAAACTCTTTCTATACTCAATTTTCTAGCCCGAGAAACAGGATGAATCCAAATAGGTGCCTTTGTAGGGCCTTGAATAGGCCTTGAGGCTTCCCATCAGAATTCATTCCGTACTCGAACGTTTTATGGTAATCATAATATAATAGAAATAAAACTAAGTGACGAGTCAATTACTTGCGCCTCAAGTAACTTCGAACTTCTTGTTATCAAAGCTTGTCGTGGATGGGTTAAGTCCACATCAGGTTCTTTTTTATGCCTTAAGGCCAAGGACTTTTTAGAGTGATCAAATCTTATATGCCCGACGGTTTAGAACTTAGATCTGGCTTGAACTGTGAAGACATATTCAAATCGGACTCAAGCGCTGAGAGAGTCTTTTAATAGCCATATTACTAGAAATAACTTGGATACAACTTGTAGTACACAACATATTGCTAGGCTAATGAATGAAAAGACAAAAACAAAGAGGGTCGGGCAAGGCTGATCGTCTTGCAAGGCTGATAGTAATTTATAACGCACCACAAAGTAGCACACAATAATCCTATTAATTTTCCTTATTAACACTAAGATTTGTCAATTGTAGCATATGAAAATAAGGGTCTTTCCCGCAGAAGATTGTTTTATCCAAATACTTAAAACTATCACAAAAACAGGGTGGCTGTCTCCACTGACCAGCCACCGAACAATAATTATTAAACTAACTTACACTTATCCAAATGCAACGAAATTTTATACTCATAAACTAGACACACAGTACGACAGTCTCACAAATTTTTGGGATTTTTGGAGTTGATTTTCTATTTAAATTAAATCGTACAAAAACAGTACAGAAACAGATTTTAAATAATACCAATAGATTTTAATTCACAAGTTAAGAAAACGAGTTAGGGGACATGTTATCCACCACCAAATAATCATGTAAGTATGTTATGTTTCATTCAAATCCCTTTTATTTCCGGATGAAGATGCTCAAGTTGGCTCACTGTTAGAACTCAACCTATTACTCTTTCTTACGTAGTATGTTAAGAGAATGGCGTTTTCAACTTAACTTAGTCCCTAGCATGCAATCTAGAATGGTGTGTTCATAGATTTAACAAGTAGAAATCATTAAGAATAAAAAAAGTTTGAGTCATCACAAGGCATCGTAAGTACTGGCGTTGTCTTACTTATCCTAGAAATCGGTTCACATGTTAACCACAATTAACAAGTGCTACTCTAGAACATATGTAGGTCCTCATTCAACAAGGGCAGGCAGACATATATTCATAGCATTAAAATCCTAAATATGCTCACTATGTATGCATCCATAGAAACACATAAAGAATTTATCAATGACATAAGTAGTGAAACAATTTTCATCCTTTCATAAAAGTCATTCAAACAAAATATCACAACATACTTACAATCATATTCGGGGCTTCAAAACAGCCCCTATCTACTAAAAATTAGTTACACATAATTATCAAATTAAACCAAAAGTAAAGCATGAGTTTGAGAAGACAAAACCAAGAAAAAATAGAGTGGAGTTTTTGCTCTCTGCCGTGCTTCTTTCTCTCTGCGCCCTGCCTCGCACCTCTGCTCTCTGTGCTCTATCACTTCCTCTTCTGCCCGTCAGTCTCTCCCTTTGCTTCTTTTATTTTTTTTTCATCTCTAACAGTTTTTTTTTTCTTTCGTTTCTGTTCTCTCCGTCTTCTCTCTTGTCCGAGTCTTTTTATTCATGCGAGCTGCCTTGCTGCAAGAGGCAGCTTTCCTTTTCTTTATTTTCTTCCACGCTGCCAAGCAGCTGTTATTCCGCACCTTTCACATTCCCTGCACCTTGCTTCTGCTGCTTCTGCCCCCGTCCTCTTCCTTTTCTGCGCCTCACGTCAGTTCTCTTCTC